TAGCGATTTGTATCCGATTGTGTTACAGTTTATACCCTGATTTCGGTTACAGGTTAGACTTCGATATTTTCTATATATACTAGGTAAAATGTATGAATGTTACATAGACTTAAATCTTTGTGAGCTTATTGGCCCGATGGCAATTCGTCCGTCTGTCGTACATATGTATGTGCAATCTCATCCGCTCAGTAACTACTTGACTAAATGTGATGAAATTTACATGACTTTCTACCAATTAAGTTGTTCAATTGTTTCGGTTGCAATCGGGGATACGAAAACCCAAAACATAGATTTTGAAAAAAGGCAATGTTTAAAGACCCTTCTCATCTCGAACCAAAAGCATTCAAATCAAATCATGATCATGGTGTCATTTCGAATGCTTCTTTGTTGAAGTTACGATTATTTTGTCATTATTAAATTAAAAGTCGTTTTTCTTTATTTCAGACATCCTGTATAGCAGTTTTCAATTTTATGAAAAGAAAATAATATTGAAAGTTAAAGAGTATAAATTAAGGTCAGACAATTACAATATTTCCTCTAGTGAACCTGATGGAGGTACATAATAGTGGCAGAGTCGGGATAAGGCCGTCGACTTCAAATCATCTTTCATTCACTGCTGTAGTTGAAATCCAATCATGACTTTGGATTCTTTGTATGTGAGGAATCTATCAAGCTAATTTACGGAAGGTCGGTGGTTCTAGTCAGGTGCCCGCTCGTGTCTTTAATGTTTCACAAAGGGTATCAGGAGTCTTCCTTTACACTACAGCAGAAATGTTTTCACATGACTTCAATGTTGTTGAAACTTAAAATCCAAGAAAGCCAAACGTAACAAAATAGAGTTAAACAGAATCCCTAAAGAAATTCCAACACAACAAAATTGAAAATATTCATAAACCCTTTTAAATACTTACAAAAAACATTATGGTAGATGGAAATTCCAACTTAAAATAAAATTTAAGGTTGCAGTATTGCTCACTTAAATACTGTTTAATCATTCTTAGGGTATTGCCTGCCTGTTAATTGTGTCTTTTGACAGCTTATCTATGGTATGCAGGCTTCATGACCTCCGATCCCCTCTCAAAATTTCATTTTGTTTAGTTTCACTCATTGTATTCTCGTTTAGGGCACACGCAAATTTTAACCTGGGGGTAATATGCCGCTTTTCACAGAATGGCAATAACGTGTCACATTGAAGGTTCCATGATAACCGCCATATGAACACATCCACAGATGTTAAAAAATCTGAAGTGTACCAGTTCATGTTTAATGTGAATTCTGCTGAAGCCGGTGCTAAGAGGCGTGGACGGTAGCTTGCAGTTACCACTACCGTCCATGAACAGGTTTAATCAAACTGAGCCTGCAACATTTTCATGTTTTCCGTGTTGGACTTCTGTTAAGGATTATTTTACTAATAGGCATTATTATAATGTGTAATGATATCAAGCAATAATCTTTCTTCTCTCAATACAATTCGATAAAAGTTGCTGTTGTTGTCGTGAAAACAGTCCTTACTTAGGACATTACTTATTCTGCAAAAAGTCTCAATCTGAAACTTAAAGTAAGCAAAATAGCAAACTATAACTTTTCTGCTGAAGAAAAAAAGTAATACAACCTTTCAAGAATGTATTAAATAGAAAGGTATGAGTTATTTCATAAAAATAATGGATACACGAACTTTGTTTGAAATTTGGCAAGTATCTAAACTGTAACAGAAATCTGGGTATAAACTGTAACAAAATTGGATGAAAGTCGCTAGGTCTATGCTGTAACCCTTCAAAATTAACCTCGCTCTATACTGTAACATTGTTTATTTTTTCAAATGCATTTTACCAACAGGAAAATAGGTTCAACTGGTCATTTACTTTTATAAACGTTTCTAAACATAAAGGACTAACGTTTTGTAGATTTACTTTATCTAGGCATGCTTAAATAATGTCGGAATGGGAGAAAAATGCGTTTGTCTCTCGATTCAAATTTTTAAACCGTCAAATCTGCACATTTATGAGACAATATAGAGATAAATCTGCGGTGCAGGGTCTGAAGAAATATATGACTAGATACCGGATTATGTTCCTTACAAGCAAAGCACAAAAACATCTTTTAGAAACTGAACTACTAGTATAGTATGGACCTGAATAAAAATCACTTACCTCTCTTCCCATAAATAATCCTCCATCTTGAAAATTCTATACTGTAACCGAAAAACGCGATACTGTAACACGTTCCCTACGGTGGATTTGCGGTTGATCGATTTTAAATCATTTTTCTTATACACATGTATCTGAAAACAACATAAATTTCTGGAGTGACTGTAAATAATATGTTTATATGTTAGGAAACAATTATCAAATTGTGAAACAAGATCTAATCATCACATGTTTCTAAATGAAGATTGATATTTCATTTTCAATGAATTTGATTTACATTAAGGCAACTTCTTGCAACCTTAAAATCATACTTAATATTGTTTTTTTTATATCAATTGTTACGTTTATCTGTCAAAAAAAGTTGCTGTACTTTTTAACACCTTTTTCATCAGGTATTTTAATCCAATCAACACATTCATTGTCGGTGATTTTAAGCAAGGTTGTATGATGGTGATTAGTTTATAAAAAAAAATAACCTGCAATTTTCATTATGGTCTAGATCTAGTGATAAATCAATCAACTCCATACATTTGTTTAAATAGCTAGTAAACTAAAGTGGTTTAAGATATGAGCTGGTATGTCACACAATTATAGACATTTCTCCTCCAAAATATGGAAAGAACAGTCAGGGAGCAAATGCCAGGGTAGGAACTGGTAAGGGACAGAATAGTCTGACTATATAGGTCTACCATGATGGCATCCAGAATGACAAAATGCAGACAGTTCTCCCCCAAAATGGGGGGGGGGGGGAGGAAACGCCAGGGTAGGAACTGCAGGGTTCCCACAAAGAAGAGAAATCAAAATTCCCTGACTTTTCCATGACTTTTCCCTGACCAAGACCATTTTTCCCTGACCAACAACAGCGTCAAGTTTTCACAATCTTTAACGCATTAAACATATTTTTTTATATGCTGGTCTCCTCTTCCCTATATTAGCCAATTTCTTTTCTCCCTTTCGTTATTTTAAATTATTTCTGATACAGAATACATGTATATGAATATAAGCAACAATTGTCAATAGCTACTCCTTTAATTAGCATGAGTATATTTATCAAAAAGGAAAAGTATATGATAACATAATTATGTCATGCTCAAATACGTTTCATTCTTGAGCATATAAAGCAGTTTAAAAACTTTGAGATACTAACTATCATAGCTAGTTTTGTATAATTTCTGCCAAATATTAGTATTATTAGCTTTGCCTACATTTTGCTTTACATGAAGCCACTTCATAATTTGTCTTATTATTTCTTGTTAAAACAAAAGTTTTTAATTGAAAACTAACATTTACTCAAGTAAATTGCATGCCTATTTTAGTCAATCATTCATTGATTACACTGCTTTGTATGGGGAGGGGCCAAGATATAAAACATTGCATTTGTGAAAAATGCTATGTCACTGCATCAATATAACAGAGTAGATTTTGTTTGGTTCTATACAATTGAACTTTGCCATAATGCAGTTGTGTCTAGTGAATTTTGGGGTCAAGGTCATATTTCAGCAAGACATATGAAAATAAATGTGCAGATGTGTCTAATATTAAGATAGAAAGGCCATACAGAGTGCAATAATTGATAGGTATTTACTGTACATTGCTGTTTTAAACTTTGAAATACAGTTACATTTTTTTTTTCTTAAATGCTATCTTTTCAATTAAGCATTACCAATTTCTTAGATAGTGAAAATTTAAAATAAGACTTTTTTTTTATTATATGTACATAATGAAAATCAATGAATCCCTGGGGTGGGGGCAATTTTGACCCCTGGGCTATAATTTTAACAATCTTGGTATAGGTCTATTACACAAATTTTTATGCTAGATATCAAACCTATAGCCTTTGTATATTCAGAAAATATTTTTTTTAAAGTTTAACTAAATGTAAAACATATATGGAAAATCTATAACCCCTTTGGCAGGCCAATTTTGACACTATGGGCAAAATTTGAGCAACTTTTTTATACATGTATACCAAATATCAAAGCTGTAGGCCTTGTACCTTCAGACAGTAAGATATTTTAAGTTTTTACTATATGTGCAAAATGAAAATCAATGATCCAAAAGAAAGATCAATTGTTAGAGGTCCAATAGATGATGCCTTCTGCAAAATATCTAAGCTCTAGGACTTGAGGTTTTTTAACATTTTTGACATTTTTTAAATGTTTTTTTCTTCTTATAATTTCTTTTTGTTTCCATAACAACCAGATTTTTGCATGAAATCAAATTCTTTTAACAAATTTGGAAGCCCGTTACCAAAGGAACAATCCTGCCAAATTTTGCAAAATTTGGACTAACCGTTTTTAGAGATATTTTAACTTCAGCATAAAGTTAAAGTTACTTTAAATGACAAAAGATTTTGAAATTTTTTAGACATAAGCATATTTTTTAGAGTAAGATATTTACAAGAATAAAAAAGATGCTCATAATGATAAATAAATATAAAGATACCTAAAATAATGAAAGAAACTGCCTTAGCTTTGACTGATTTTGCTTCCTACATTTTGGCCAAAATTCTTCTCTTACAAAATTCCCTGACTTTTCCCTGACTTTTGCTTATTTTTCATATTTCCCTGACCAATTTCAAAATTCCCTGACTTTTCCCTGACCTTGAAAAAAAATCATTTTTCCCTGACTTTTCCCTGACCGTAGGAACCCTGAACTGGTAATATCGTTATATAGTCTGGTCCAGGAGCGAATATATAGTAGATATATAGGCCTACAGTATAGTCTGACACCCTCCATAGCAGGCCTATTTCAGGCTAGTTTAAAAGAGTTTTTCTGTGAATTTAAAACAAATGGCAAACGTCAATATTTCTTACAGTGTACATGTACTTACTGTGTACTGTTTAAATTGTCGGCTGCTATCCGTGCAAAATAAAATACCGCCGTTGAAGTTAAATATCACGTGATGCAAACCACGTGACATATTCTACTTCCGTTTGAAGAAGAAAAACAACAAAGAGCTGAAAATTAATATTAATGGACGAGAAAAGAGCTCCTGGCAGGTAAAATGAAACAACAGTGAACTCATTAATTGAAAAATAATTAAATAAGCAATTTCTAATGCTGCCTATTGCATCGATATGATTATTTTTGGTTTATTGTTTTTCGCTCTTCGAATTCTCGTACTCAATTTTGTATCATTTATTAAACATGTTAAAAATCTGGTATATGTCTTCCGTCAGTGGCATAAAATATATCTATATACAGCATATTTATTATATTAGCTCAGTACCCCGTCTAGTTAAGGTCTTACTGTAGTTATTACTGGAGAGTAAAAGACTGCAAAACACATTTTATCAGCATTTTATTCGGCTATATCAAACAAATGCCTTTTCCTAGCTCTTGAGTGTAAAATTACCTAGCCCGGTTTAGGGAATTTTGTGTTGCAAAATTGCTTAATTGGGAAAAATATTTGGTACCATTAGAGCTGTCATCGAACAATATTGATGTATGGTTGACATTTTTCTGTCGATCAATAATCGATACACATTTCAAAATATTGATAATTTTGATTTATTTATTAATGTCTAGAAATAAGGAAATTCACCCAAAACATATATAGTACACAGAAGAACGTGCCCATGTTAAACTTTATCTATAAAGTCAAATTGCTGTGAAATATTTCCACTATTATAAGTCATAATAGTGGAAATATTTCACAGCAGTGATGACAAAAAATGGTCTGGATTTTAATAAAAAGTCATGTAATGGGCTTTTAGAAACAAGACACTGAACAGAACATGTTTTAAACTAAAATCATTTAAACAGGCAGAAAATGTAATTTTAGGTCATTATCGATATAATTTTATCGGTGTTGATATTTGTCAACCTATATCAATAAATCATGTTTGATAGCTTGATGCATGTTTTCATTGCCTTGAATCAATGACAGCTTAGGTACCATTTGATACCTCCTTTCAAGCTCTTTTGGCATAGTATTTGAATTGTGCGACAATGTTGATTCTAACCAACACAAATGTCTATCAAATCATAACATAAACAATAATATTTGAAGATAATGTAAGGAAACATCTGTTTGTAAGATACCTGAATGAACGTCAGCAAATTTGTTAGTTTGATTGGGAATTTTTTATGTAAAGATTTTGAAAAAAATAAGCACATTTGCCATTGGGAATGGGTCTGATATTCTATCCTGTGCTGTCACTGGAAAAAGGCCTATCATAATAAAATTTTTAAATAATGGCTCTAAATGGCAGAATTGAAAATCTCTCATGCTCAATTTGGTAGAGCCTGTTCGTGGATGGAAGTGGAATGAAAAAGCTATGGTTTGAGCAGTATTTAACATTTATATATGACAAGATTTAGAAACATCCGCAGATGTGTTTATACTGTGGTGATAATTGAAAATCACAATATTAATATAATAATATTGTTGATACTCGCCAATCAATACAATATCTTCTGACTTGTGAAAATATCAGTCTGTTTTGTGTAAAAGGAAAAAGTCACTTTTCTCCCTTTTTTGTCCACTTTGAATACTGGATTTAATGTTCAGAGTTTTGATAAAAAGAAAATATACTTTTAAGCTCACCTGTCATAAAGTGACACCGTGACGGGTGAGCTTTTGTGATGGCTTTTTGTCCGGCGTCCGGCCGTAAACTTTTACTTTAAACGACATCGCCTCATAAACCGCTTGGCCAATTTCATCCAAACTTCACAGGATTGTTCCTTTGGTAGCCAACTTTAAAAATTGTTCAAAGAATTTAGTTCCATGCAGAATTCTGGTTGCCATGGCAACCGAAAGAAAAAACTTAAAAAATCTTCTTTTAAAAATATCCTGATAGCTAGAGCTTTAATATTTGGCATGAAACATCATCTAGTCAGTGTCTACCAAATTTGTTCAAATAAAAGCCCTGGGGCAAAATTGGCTCGCCCCGGGGGTCATTGATTTTCCTTATTTATATATAGTAAAAACTTAAAAAATCTTCATTTAAAAAACCCAAATAGCTAAGAGCTTAGATATTAAGCATGAAACATCTTCTAGTGGGTGTCTGCAAAGTTTGTTCAAATAAAAGCCCTGGGGTTAAAATTGGCTCCGTCCCAGGGGGGTCATTGATTTTCCTTATTTGTATATAGTAAAAACTTAAAAAATCTTTTATTAAACCAAAATAGCTAGAGCTTAGATAAACCGTAAAGCATGAAACATTTTCTAGTGGGTGTCTACCAAGTTTGTTCAAATAAAAGCCCTGGGGTAAAAATTGGTCCGGCCCCAAGGGGGTCATTGTTTTTCCCTTAATGTATATAGTAAAAACTTAAAAAGTCTTCTTTTAAAAACCTCAAAGAGCTAGAGCTAAGATACATACAAAATTTTTCATCTTTTCATCAATGACAGCCCTAGTGATCATATAACCTTCAATGTGACACTTTAGTGCCATTCTGTGAAAAGTGGCATATATGGTCCTGAAGTGAAAGAATGCATGTGTCCTAAACAAGAGAACATGAATGTGCAAATCAAAATAAGTCATTTTCACATTATTTTTTAGCTCGACTATTCGATAAGAATAAGTAGAGCTATTGTAGTCACCCGAGCGTCGGCGTCGGCGTAACCACTTATGTTAAAGTTTTTGTAATAGTTCAAATATTTTCAAAGTCCATTGACATATGGCTTTGAAACTTTGCACACTTGTTCACCATCATGACCCCAACCTGTAGACAGGAGGAGGTAACTCTATCAAGCATTTTGACAGAATTATGCCCCTTTTTCGACTTAGAATTTACGTTAAAGTTTTTGTAATAGTTCAAATATTTTCAAAGTACATTGACATATGGCTTTGAAACTTTGCACACTTGTTCACCATCATGACCGCAACCTGTAGACAGGAGGAGGTAACTCTATCAAGCATTTTGACAGAATTGTGCCCCTTTTGCGACTTAGAATTTACGTTAAAGTTTTTGTAATAGTTCAAATATTTTCAAAGTCCATTGACATATGGCTTTGAAACCTTGCACACTTGTTCACCATCATGACCCCAACCTGTAGACTGGAGGAGGTAACTCTATCAAGCATTTTGACAGAATTGTGCCCCTTTTTCAACTTAGAATTTACGTTAAAGTTTTTGTAATAGTTCAAATATTTTCAATGTCCATTGACATATTGCTTTGAAACTTTGCACACTTGTTCACCATCATGACCCCAACCTGTAAACAGGAGGAGGTAACTGTATCAAGCATTTTTTATATGCCCGAAAGGGCATATTATGTTATACCCCCTGGCGTCCGTCTGTCTGTCTGTCCGTCCGTCCGTCCGTTAGCAATTTGGTTTCCGGAGCATAACTTAAGTTCCATTTGGCCCACAATGTTCAAACTTCATAGGATGATTGTCCATATTGGGTAGAAGACCCCTATTGATTTTGGGGTCAAAAGGTCAAAGGTCAAGGTCACTATGACCTTAAAACTGAAAACAGTTTTCCGGAGCATAACTTAAGTTCCATTCGACCCACAATGTTCAAACTTCATAGGATGATTGTCCATATTGGGTAGAAGACCCCTATTGATTTTGGGGTCACAAGGTCAAAGGTCAAGGTCACTAACACTTTGATACTGAAAACAGTTTCCGGAGCATAACTTAAGTTCCAATTGGCCCACAATGTTCAAACTTCATAGGATGATTGTCCATGTTGGGTAGAAGACCTCTATTGATTTTGGGGTCAAAAGGTCAAAGGTCAAGGTCACTATGACCTTTAAACTGAAAACAGTTTCCGGAGCATAACTTAAGTTCCATTCGACCCACAATGTTCAAACTTCATAGGATAATTGTCCATATTTGGTAGAAGACCCCTATTGATTTTGGGGTCACAAGGTCAAAAGTCAAGGTCACTATTACCTTGATACTGAAAACAGTTTCCGGAGCATAACTTAAGTTCTAATTGGCCCACAATGTTCAAACTTCTTAGGATGATTGTCCATATTGGGTAGAAGACCCCTATTGACTTTGGGGTTACAAGGTCAAATGTCAAGGTCACTATTACCTTAAAACTGAAAACAGTTTCCGGAGCATAACTTAAGTTCCATTTGTCCCACAATGTTCAAACTTCATAGGATGATTGTCCATATCGGGTAGAAGACCCCTATTGATTTTGGGGTCACAAGGTCAAAGGTCAAGGTCACTTTTACCTTGATACTGAAAACAGTTTCCGGAGCATAACTTAAGTTCCATTTGGCCCACAATGTTCAAACTTCATAGGATGATTGTCCATATTGGGTAGAAGACCCCTATTGATTTTGAGGTCAAGGGTCAAGATCACTATATCCTTAATACTGAAAACAGTTTCCGGAGCATAGTTCCATTTTGCCCACAATATTCAAACTTCATACGATGATTGTCCATATTGGGCAAAAGACCCCTATTGATTTTGGGGTCACTAGGTCAATGGTCAAGGTCACAATTACCTTTAAACCAAAAACAGTTTCCGGAGCATAACATAAGTTCCATTTGGCTCACTTTATTCAAACTTCATAGGATGATTGTCCATATTGGGTAGAAGACCCCTATTGATTTTGGGGTCACAAGGTCAAAGTCACTTTTACCTTAATACTGAAAACAGTTTCTAGAGCATAATTAAAGTTCCAATTGACCCACAAAATTCAAACTTCTTAGGATGATTGTCCATTTAAGGTAGAAAACCCCTATTCATTTTGGGGTCACAAGGTCAAAGGTTAAGGTCATTATTGATAACTATTAATCAACCTACAGCTGTAAAATTTTATAGGATGAACAGCTTATTCCCATGTCTTACAAATGCTTCATCCTTACTAAAAAAAACACTTTCGGGCATATAATGCTCCGCCTAGCGGTGCTCTTGTTTTTACTATCAAGCACTAAGAATAGTCGAGCGTTGCTGTCCTACTGACAGCTCTTGTTTTTTTTGTGCCCCCACTTTAGTGGCGGGCATTTAGATTTAGCCTTGTCCGTCCTTCCGTCCGTCCGTTCTCTTTTGTGTCGTACGTAACTCAAAAAGTATTTGACGTAGAGTAATGAAACTTTACAGGAATGTTGATCAGCATGTGTTGTTGTGCACCTGGGTATTTTCGTCTGGATATTTTTAGTATTTTTTAGAGTTATTGCCCTTGACTTAGTAAAATTTTGCAATTTTCAACTTGTGTTGCATGTACATGTAACTCATAAAGTATTTGACCTAGAGTCATGAAACTTTACAGGAATGTTAATCAGCATGTGTAGTTGTGCACCTGGGTATTTTCGTCTGGATATTTTTAGTATTTTTTAGAGTTATTGCCCTTGACTTAGTAAAATTTTGCAATTTTCAACTTGTGTCGCATGTAACTCAAAAAGAAAATGACCTAGAATCATGAAACTTTACAGGAATGTTAATCAGCATGTGTAGTTGTGCACCTGGGTATTTTCGTCATATTTAAATTTTTTAGTAGTTTTAGAGTTATTGCCCTTGACTTAGTAAAATTTTGCAATTTTCAACTTGTGTCGCATGTAACTCAAAAAGGATTTGACCTAGAGTCATGAAACTTTACAGGAATGTTAATCAGCATGTGTAGTTGTGCACCTGGGTATTTTCGTCATATTTTTAGTAGTTTAAGAGTTATTGCCCTTGACTTAGTAAAATTTTGCAATTTTCAGTTTGTGTCAAAATGTAACTCAAAAAGGATTTGACATAGAGTCATGAAACTTTACAGGAATATTGCTCAGCATGTGTAGTTGTGCACCTGGGTATTTTCTTCTGAATTTATTTAGTATTTTTAGCTCGACTATACGAAGTATATGGAGAGCTGTCCTACTCGCCCCGGCGTCGGCGTCCGCGTCCAGATTTTAGATTAAAGTTTTGGTGCAGTAAAATATTTTTCACTATAACTTTGTCATTTCTTAAGGTATCAACTTCAAACTTCAAATATATCTTCCTTATCATCAACCACATCATATGTGACAAGGTTCATAACTCTAGCACCAATATTTTCAGATTTATCTCCCCTTGAACTTAGAATTTTCCTTAAAAAATACTATTTTTTACTGTTACTTCCTTATTTCTTAAGGGATCAACCTCATACTTCAAATATATGTACCTTATCATCCATCCCCATCTTATGTGACAAGGTTCATAACTCTAGCACCAATAGTTTCAGATTTATCTCCCCTTGAACTTAGAATTTTCCTCAAAAAGTACTATTTCTTACTGTTTCTTCTTTATTTCTTAAGGGATCAACCTCATACTTCAAATGTATTTACGTTATCATCATCCCCATCTTATGTGACAAGGTTCATAACTCTAGCACCAATATTTCAGATTTATCTCCCTTTGAACTTAGAATTTTCCATAAAAAATTTTTTTTTACTGTTATTTATTTATTTCTAAAGGGATCAACTTCATACTTCAAATATGTTTACGTTATCATCATCCACATCTTATGTGACAAGGTTTATAACTCTAGCACCAATATTACAAGAATTATCTCCCCATAAACTTAGATTTTTTTACTAGAAAAATGTTATTTTTTATTATAACTTTTTTATTTTTAAAGGTATCTACCTCAAATTTCAAATACTTATTCCTTATCAACAATTACATTTTATGTGACATTGTTCATAATTCTTGATGCAATATTTACAGATTTATCTCTCTTTGAACTTAGGATTTTCTTTAAGAAATATAATAGCTTCTTTTCTTTTTAAGGTATCTGCTTCAAACTTCAAATATATGTTTCTTATCATTACACAAATGTTGTGTGACAAGGTCCATAACTCTAGCATGACTATTTCTAGCATTATTCCCCTTGATCTTGGAATTTATGTTAACAAATATTATTTTTTTACTATAACTTAATACATAATTATACATAATTGATTTTCCTTTCATAGTTTTGTCCTCCTTACTGCGTCCAGTATTTCATTAGTCGAGCTTCGCTGTCTCCTGTGACAGCTCTTGTTAGAGTTATTGCCCTTGACTTAGTAAAATTTTTGCAATTTTCAGTTTGTGTCAAAATGTCACTCAAAAAGGATTTGACATAGAGTCATGAAATTTACAGGAATATTGCTCAGCATGTGTAGTTGTGCACCTGGGTATTTTCAATTGGATTAATTTAGTATTTTTAGAGTTATTGCCCTTGACTTAGAAATTTTTTGCAATTTTCAACTTGTGTTGCATGTAACTCAAAAAGGATTTGACAAAGAGTCATTAAACCTTACAGGAAGGTTTCTCAGCTTATTTAGTTTTGCACCTTGGGTTTCGCTTGTGGATTTATCCAGTATTTGTAGAGTTATTTCCCTTGACTTAGTAAAAACCATTTCATTTTGTTGTTATTTGTTCCTTGAGTGCTTGAGTTAGAATCATCAAACTTTACAGGAATAATGATCAACATCACTAAATTACAGGAATAATGATTTACATCACTGTGAAGCTATACACCTGGGACTTTGCATCTGGAATTTTTTCAGTTTTGTTAGAGTTATTGCCCTTGACTTACAGTAGTATAAATTTGCAATTTTCAACTTGTTCATGCATAGCTCCAAAAGTATTTCACTTGTAGGCCTGAAAGTTTACAAGAATGTTGATCAGCATGTGTACTTATGCACCTTGGAGTTTGCTTGTGGATGTATTCAGTATTTGTAAAGTTCTTGCCTTTTACTTAGTAAAAGATTTTTAGTTTTCAAAAAAAAATTTGACCTAGAGTCATAAGATTGACAGAACAGTGGCGCGGTGGGGGCACCCGTGTCCTATGGACACATTTCTAGTTATATCTTGCTGTATATTCCACTAGTTTAGTTCAATTGTTTTTCAGTCTTTTAGTCAATTTTGATTTTACCATTTTAAGAAGTCCAACTAATTTAATTGTGAAAGAGACATCAAGGTAATTTTTAGATGGTGAAAAAGTGTCTGAAAAATGGGTTAAGCTGTTCACACCAAATTCATTAGACTAGCTTGTCAAGGAACCTTAATAAAACAAGAAAAATCAAACTCTCCTCAAGTTTAATGAGTTTAATGATAAGTTTTACAAAAACAAACATTTGTGTTCTTATTTGTCAATGTCTGTATGATATCATCCCCCCCCCACCCCCCCCCCCATTTGCCCTGGTAAATAGACGGTAGTTTTTAGCTCGACTTTTCTATGAAAAGGGGAGCTATCCTACTCGCCCCGGCGTCGGCGTCGGCGTCGGCATTGGCGTCACACCTTGGTTAAGTTTTTCGTACCACCCCACTTTATTTCAGAAGTATTACAAGTATGGCTTTGAAACTTACCATACTTGTTCACCATCATAACCTCCATCTACAGACAAGAGTACATAACTCTGTCAAGGTTTTTGACAGAATTATGGCCCTTTTTTGACTTAGAAAGTGTATTGAGCTTGGTTAAGTTTTTTGTACCACCTCACTTTATTTCAAAACCATTGGAGGTATTGCTTTGAAACTGACCATACTTGTTTACCATCACGACCTTCATCAACAGACAAGAGGACATAACTCTGTCAAGGTTTTTGACAGAATTATGCCCCTTTTTGACTTAGAAAATACATTGAATATGGGTAAAATCCACTTATTGCCTTAACCCTTTGAGATATTGCTTTGAAACTTTTAAATGCTATTTCACATCATTACCCCCATCTGTACGCAAGAGAAGGTAACTCTGTCAAGGATTTGTTTTAAAAATTAAGGCCTTTTATCGACTTAGAATCTTGGTTAAGTTTTTAGTACCAGTCCACTTTTTGACTGAACTGTTTGAGATATTAATTTGAAAGTTGGAATACTTGTTTACAATCATGATTCCCAAACATGTCCAGGAGAAGGTAATTCTGTCAAAGATTTTATTTGAATTATGGCCCTTAACTGTCAATGTTTTGTATTATAGGCAAGCAATAAAAAAGTCGAGCGCGCTGTCTTACGGACAGCTCTTGTTCTGTTATCTTCTGGAGGCATGCTGCTTTAACATTTCATCATAATTCTTGCACTTTTATGACAGAAAATCTGTCAAACTGTCTATCTGAATCATTTCCAAATTTATTATCAAAATATTTGGCAATGTATGGAAGTGTATATGTAATAAGACTATTTCAAATATAGATAACTATTTGTAGTTTCCTTCACATTCATTAAAGAAATTCACAATTAGTTATGGCTATTTTTTCGTTAGTTTATAATTATGCAATGTATCTTAGTTTGATTGTGTTGGAAGCTTTAAGCTAACAGATTCACTCTCGAACCAACCAATACTAAGCAATAAGTGTAAAGTTCTTCGTTCAAGGAACCAGACTGACAGAGTTCGAACCAATCCTACCATCAACACTTCCCAGATTACCAGTCCCAACATGGAAACCATTCGACCACACCATTATTACTTTAGCACTGTCTCATGTGTTATCCAATTATTGTGCCGAATTCATTCTGAAAATCTTCCATAGCTTCAAATATAAATCCCTTATTTCTAAATTTCTTTACAGGTCCCCTGCAGTTGATTAATATGTTACCAGTCTTTGCAATATATTTTTAGGTCAAAGCGACCTGTTAAACCACCTGACGACGGTAGCTGGGACTGTAGTGTGTGCACATTTAAGAATTCTCCAGAGGCGTACAAGTGTGACATGTGCGATGTCAGGAAAGGCACCTCCACACGGTTAGTTATAAAACCCACTCTTTGAAATCATTCCAGGAACGTGGTATTATTTTTTCACCTTTTGTGCAGTAATGTGTTAACTCCTTACATAATTTATTAAAAGTTAACCTGTTACTGCACTAAGCTGACAATTTTCATGCATGCCTGATGGAAGCTAACTTGTTCGCTTGTTGATGCAGATGGTATCTTGACCTACCCAGGACCAAAAAAAATGCACATTTGGGTATCTTGGGTTTTTGCATCTGATTTTTCCATCTATAACATGGGAAGTTACCATTATGTCAGGCATATCATTATGTCAGGCATATATGTATTTTACTAGCTGACTTGAAATTATTATTTCACTGTTATGAGTTCTTTTCAATATTATTTTTCATGAATCAAATAGTTACTTATATAAAAAATTGATAAATTCCATACCTAAATTTGTTGAATACTGAGAAATAACAAGAAAGATATTGAGTTGAGATATTTTACTCTTCCCTGCTGACATCTGCTGTAAATTTATGAAGGTAACTGTAACTAAAACATGGAAATCTATTCACTGTATTACAGACTGCCACATGATGTATTATATAATATTTTACATAACAAGATTTTTTTAAATGAAAACTTGTGGGTTTGTCTTTCAAGTTTTCAAGGTTTAAATCTAGACAACTGACAAGGTCATGGTCGACATTTCTAATTAAAGTATAGTGGTTTCTGCTTTATTAAGATCACTTTAATTTTTGAAGTGAGGAACAAAATGTCCTGTCAGTATGCATTTCTAGCAGTATTGATAGAAATATGAATTATATCATACATTCCATATGATATCTTTAGCTTTACTAACCTAGTAAAAATGTTACTTGAATAAGTCAGTGTCATAATTTGTGCTTATTTTTATTTTCCTTACATGATCAGTTACCATAAATACAGAAAGGTTTCTATAGCAAAAAACCTGGTTTATTTGCAATGTTCACATGTTGTGAATACAATAAATTATGACAAAGTGTCAAACAAAAAAATGGACCAGTATTAAGACAGTTACATATTTTACACAGAAAGGGTGGACTGAATATAAGTGTCAAATATCTAGTATAATATTCATTAATGCATTGGTTATCAACTAGTCAAAATACCTGTAAGCTAATGAAAGTTAATTGGGGCATTGCCCATGGCCAGTTAATTTGAGGTCATTAGGTCACAGTCACATTAACACCATGTCTAATTCATAACTTGAGAGGTAATAAGCCTAAGGTTATAAAACTTTGTAGGGACAACTTGAGTTACTAAGAAGACCTCTATTGATTTTGATGTTATTACATGTAGGTCAAGGTCACAATGGCACATAAAATCATTGTCTAATCCATAACAACATGTTTAATAGTGATTAGTTTGTGAAGCTTATTAAATGCAATACTGTAATTCATGTATGCCACTGTGATGGCAAATGAATTAAGGTAATAAGTGTCAAATGAACACATCTCTAGTTTTAATTAAACAGTTGTATGAATGTATTAAAAAGATTAGACTTGTTCTTTCTTTAATGCAGTAAACCTAAGTTGAATCCCCAGCTAGTAGCTCAACAGGTGGCCCAACAGTATGCTGGACCTTTGACACCACCACCTGGGTCCCCGAATCCCGATGAAGAGGATCAGGACCGACTGTTCCCAGATCCAGAGGATGATTTATTTGGTCCACCACCTGCGCCCCCGAAGCCAGTATTTAAGAAAGACAAAGGTTTAGCAGTAGTGAACAAAGGAGAAAAATCAAACACACAAATAACAAAGCAAAATACACAACAGAGGCAGCATAAACAAACAAAGAAAAATACGAGGTATTCCATATATTATGTTGTTCTTAACTAGTTGGTAATTAACTAGTTATTAACTATTTGCACTGATTAACCTTTAGTATAAATATGTACATTGTATACTGTGTTTCTTCTCATAACTGTATAGTATTCACAATTATTAACATTCAAGTTTCAAATGTAAATCTGTTTATGAAAAAAATATGTAGGATTATTAAGGACACTTTGTGTAATTGATAGTTTTTTGATAGATTTCCTTGAAATGTCTGCAACATATTGATTATAGTTTGTTACATTTGAGGCTTTCTTGTCTTAAAATTACTAAAGAATTAGATTTGTTAGCTCAACCGATGGAAGAATAGGGAGAGCTAATGTACTTACATGTACTTTGGCATCCACATCACACTTTGGTCATGTTTTTGCTTGCAAGTTGGTATCTCCAAAACTAATGAAGGGAATGGGTTGAAACTTCACACATTTTGACTTACTTTAGAGCATAATAGAAGGTCACTGTCCAATGCCCATAGCATGGAATTTTTACAGAATAATTGCTCTTTTGGTACATAGAAAGTTTTATTTACCCAGGCTCTTGTTTTACTACCAAGGATTAAGAATAGTCGAGCAAGCTGTCCTACTGGCTCTTTTTGAACTTAGAAAGTCCTACATTACACAGGCTCTTGTTTTGCTACCAAGCACTGAGAAAAGTTGAGCATGCTATCCTTCTGACAGCTCTTTTTCTTTTATTCAGTTTTATTGTACTACTGAAAATTGTCTCTTCATTTCAAGTACTGTCTGACCATAAAATGAATTAGAGAGTGAACTTTTAATCTAGGTGTGTTTGTGGTATGTCAAAGTAACCCAGGATCAACAGTTTATTAAAAACATTTGCCACAGGATTTTCATTTTATGCTGAATGTCTCCTTTCTGGATGTAAAATATGCAATAGCTTTTAATAACTTCATATTATGATTAGATGTGTGGATCTTCATCAATCTTCTGTTCTCTGTTACTGTCTATTTTCCATAAACTGTCTGATTATATACCAATTTAAATTGGACAAAAGCTACTAACCTACAAAAAAAGCTGGACAAAGACTTAGTCAATTACACCCCAATAAGAAAAGATTCAAGGCTTTAAACAGCTACATTTTGTAGCTAAGCTTGCTCCCTTAAGCTATGTAAATTGTTTAAATGCTGTCATCTAGATATCAAATAAAATCAGTTAGCTTCAGAAGTTCTTTAACTTAAGTTTAAGGGGCAACCCTAGCTAAAACATGATGTTAGTCTTTGATTTTAAATATTATGTTTCCATTTACAGACACTTGAAATTTAAATGAAATCTACTTATCAAATTTTCCATGAAACAATTTATGAATGTTAACCAATCATTTAACACATTCTTTTCAAATGTCAAAATTTATAACGACTTAATTTTTCAAATTATTGTATCCTTAATTAAAATTGGTCACATGGTTAGGGTATCTACCTGTTGATGCATAGATGGTGCATGTTAGCCTTACTGCGAACACTTAGTGTTGAGTAATTGTTCAACAATCTGTAAACCTCATACCTCATTGCCATTTTATTTTTTAAGAGTATTGCTAATCTTCGTAAAAACATTTTGGTTATCAAAACAGTCCTTTTAAAGATTGGTTATATACATGTACAGGGGTGGGTGGGGAATTGTACATATCCCTTCTCACCCCCTTGAACAAATGGTTGCTAACTACATGTATCATATATATATTTACAAAACTGAAAGCAGAAATTTGCAAATAATTCACCTCGCTACTGTTGATTTTGCAGTATTTTGGCCTCTGACACAAAATACCCATATTAACAGTAATGGGGTCAAGGTTGTTAAAACTCTTTTTATCTGTACACATAACACTTAAAGCACTATGAATTTTTATATGTTGACATAAGGTTACGTATAATTTTGTATTATTTTGAAGGCCACCTAGATTGAAGAACGTAGATCGAACGAGTGGTGAGCAGATAGCCGTTACTGTAGATAATGTTACTGTTATGATAACAGATTATCAACCAAAGAAACGTAAACTTGCCACAGAATTGACCAAAGTGCAGTCTGACATGAGTGATACGTCAAGCAATGCTAGTAATGATATTCACGAGGACAGACTCGGTAGTGATAATCAAACATGATGGTCGACAACAACAACAACAACAACACATGCACAAATAACCTTTCATTCAATGTAAATGCATCAGTGCAAGGTTATCATGCATTTATAAATGATATTTAGAAGTGCAAGTATTTTATGTGCGGAGAGTTTATTATAAAGATATATTATATCCAAAATTCTTACGCTAACACTATTGTAGCCCTGTGAACTTGACAGCAAGTTAGGGTAATGACAGTATGAATATTTGATAAAAAAAATACAGTAAAAGGATCTCAACATAGTTAATTGTGGTTGCATTCTTGGATTTATTGTGGTAGAGCTCAGGGGTGCATTTTCAGGATAATTGGTTGTCTGTAGAACATCTTCCACAAATGCTGTGTCACAGTGTTAATAGGTTCTTCATTAAACTTTATCTTAATGTTTATTTTTATAATATATCTGAAAGGAGTTTAAATTAGGTCATGTGGGATTTGAGGCAAGGTCATAAAGTTAAGTTTATCATTTATTATCACACAAGAGAACATGTTTTTGATTGAGTAGTTAATCTTCATGCCCAAAACTGTTTGCTTTCATGATTTCTTGGTGAAGTTCACATAAGGTCATCAGGGGTCTAAAACTAGGTCATTAACTAAAATTACAAAGTTAAGGAAAAAAAAATTTAAAACTGCAGAAAAAACATTTTAGGAGTTTCAGTCAAAATATTTGCGTTCTTTCTTTTTCTTAGTCAGATTTGTATATGTTGCATCTCTGACTTAAAAAATAAAAAAATATTGCCTCAAATCAAGGTATCTTTGACTTTCCATAATCGTCAACAGTTGCGCAAGGATGTGAAGATAAAATATCATTGTGGGTCTTATTTAGAAAATCATATTTAGAAAATCATACATAAAAAACAAACATTATAAATTATTTAAAGCTACAGACCCACAGACTAATGATGTCAATATAAAGCATCGCAATGGTTTAAAATTATACAAGGATAAAAGTGCAAAAACTTTAATAAACTGGTATTTTTGAAAACAAGATGTATATTAATCATTAGACAGCTTTTCTTGTTGTTTATTGAAATGCTCAAAAGAGTATCATTATGGTTAGATGTACAGGGATATTTTAAATATTTCATTTGTGCCTGATATAAAACAAGGATTATGGCACCTGAGGTCTTTCTTCTCAGGTAAAACTGGGAAGTCACCATATGTTAGACCTTCTCAGTGTTGTTGAGACTTCAAACTCATCTGCAAAGTGAATGATTGTTAAAACATTCATACATGTTTATGTAATGTAGTTAAAAATAACAGACAAATGAATTGACATCCATTGTAAAATAATCATCATTGTTTGTATGGAGGTGTCTGTGGCCGAGTGGACAAGGTTGTTGACTTCAAACCACTTGCCCCTCACCGCTATGGGTTCAAATCCCAACAGGGACTTTGGATTCTTTCATATAAGAAAGCAATTCAGCTAGCTTATGGAACATCGATTCCAGTTCTACTTGGGTGCCTGTTTAGACCTGAAATAATGCATGGAAGGGCACCTGAGGTCTTCCTCCACCTGTAAAGCTGGAATGTAGCCATATGACCTAGTGTGATGTAGAACCCAAACAAACAAACATTTTATGTATATTGAATCATATAATGCAATGAATATCCCCATTTAGTTTATTAATCCTTACAGCTGCATGCCTCCAGATGAGCCAGAATATTTCAAGAAAATCAAATTTGAGAAAACATGTACCAAGAAGTTAAGAATAATTTATAATTATGTAATGTGCCATTTGTGAATGATTTTGCTATATTTATCGCCATATTGCTAGTGAGACTAATGCAGTAAGGACTATTTTTGTATATTTTGACCTGTTTTTTTTTGGTAATTTACAGAGATTATAAGTGCTGCTGGCAATGTGTTTATTACTTTCTTTGTCCACTTAACTATATTTTACTTTTAAATACATTTTTCAAATTTTCATAAGAATTAGTAATATGAAAAAGGCAAAGCCTCAAAGCGAGCTCGATTTTCTTTTACCGTGAAATAGTATAAAATAATTGTTCAATTTTATTTTACATTTCCCGTTTTAAAAATGTCATTCGATATTTTATACACTGCCTCCATTTATTCTGGTTCCCTGTCGTATTATGGTTCCATATAAGTGCGCAAGACACCAGTCTCTACGCTTCTGTTTTCAATCAGAATACCTCAGCTTTTATCGTTATCTTGAAATTCGAAAAGTTGCGATGTGTCAATTCAGATTGATTTGATTTGATTGATTATGTTGATTGAGTACAAGTATTGTGCTGGATATATTGATTTTTAGCTAGATATTTTACATTCCTGGGTTTCTTTTTTGCCCAGGTCATAGCTCACGAAAATATTTATTGTCATATTAGATCAAAACATTTTAACTATGCCTTATTAACTTCCACAATACTAAAAAGTATGATAAAGTTATCCCATCAGTTCAGTGTAGTGATATAAGGTTGTTCAGGAGTCATTGATTATGTTAATGTAAATTATATAAATACTTACATTGGTGGGCATTGTCTTTTGTAGTACCTTTTGTTGTCACTCATGAGCAGAAATAATTAAACTGTCCTTAACGTTCACTAAATTTCATTTCTTTTTGTTATCAAACTGTTCCTAACTTTCACTTACTCACTGGATTTCTGTTGTATTTTGCTGTAGCATAATTATCATATTTCAACATTTGTAATTTTTGTAATCAAACTTTCCTTTACTGTCACTTTCACATTGATTTTCTGTTGTTTTTGCTGTTCCAAAATCATGGTATTTCAATATTTGTAATTTTGGTAAACAAACTGACCTTAACTTTTTCTTACTTGTCCGATTTCTGTTGTTTTTGCTGTAACAAAATCGTTGTATTTCAAAATTTCCTAATTTTGTTTTAATATTTAAAATAGTAAATCAAGTATTGTTCAGAGAATTTTGTTTTACTGTTAGGGCTTCCAGACCATTAATGCTCAGATGAGCATGAAAAGATCATGGTGACTTTGTTTAAGCTGGTCCATAGTTTTCTTGTATAACTTTTCTCAAATTTTCACCTGTTTTAATAATTATAATAATAGTATTATGGCTAAGGTAGCAATCCCACAGCTTCTTCCAAATTAAGGTGAGCATTGCATACATCTGGTTGCAGTTGTTGCAAGAGATATAACATTTGGTTATATTCCAATAAATTATTGAACTGAATTTCAAAATTATTGCTCATAGATGATATTGGCTTGGGAAAGTTTAGTAGACTATTTTATTGATGATCTTAGTATATAATTGATGATATATGATAATAAATTGATGATATTAAAAACAAATTACTATTAATGAGGGTAGATAAAAACAAAGGTGTGTAGACAGTTGTTTCATATTTTGATCATGAAATCAACTACAAAGACTTTTGAAAGATCAGTTTTAATGAATCAAGCTTTTGTAATTGGTCATAAAAGCATGTTTCATGACTATTAAATTTGTATACTTGCAAGGTCAAGGTCATAATGAAATTTAACACATCAATGCTAGACTGTAGGTTTTTACTTATTAAAGGTACTCCTCTGATGTTTTTTGATGATGAGACTGGAAATATTTTTCCAAGATTTGTGTACCATTTGATGTAGGTCTGGACCAGTAACTTGTGTGCAAATTTTCAGATCATTTGCTCTCACTGTTTTTCCAGAATAATCTTTTTGGTGTGCAAAATGAGGCAACACTTTTCACTCAAATTGGGCTAAATTTCTTTAATTCCCTTTCAGATGTTTTCATTCAAGTGCTTCACTTGATCCGTGTTAGAATTTATAGGCTGTTTGACCTCAGTGGAGCTCCTATAATGGTCCTTAAGTGCCATGTTGTACTGTAAATCATGATGTGACTATGTAGTACTGTATGATTCCGATTTTGTAAATCAACACATTGGCTTAAGTGCAATGTGATTCTGTAAATCAACACATCGGCTTTAATGCTTTGTGGTTCTGTAATTCAACACATTGGTTTTAATGCTTTGTAATTCTTTAAATCAGTGCTGTGTGGTTTTGTAAATTGATACATTGGTTCATGAAGTGCTTAATGGTTCTGTAATTCAACACGTTGGCTTTAATGCTTTGTGGTTCTGTAATTCAACACATTGGCTCATGAAGTGCTTTATGGTTCTTTAATTCAACACATTGGCTTTAATGCTTTGTGGTTCTGTAAACCAACACATTGGCTTAAGTGCTGTGTGGTTTTGTAATTCAATGCATTGGTTTTAATGCTCCGTGGTTCTGTAAATCTACACATTGGTTGTAGTGCTAGATCTATGTGTTATATGATGTAATCATTCAGTTTACTAATTCTATGCTTCCAAGTTTCTTGCTTTGCCAAAGTATTATATATTATGTAGGTTAAGGTAGGCCCTAATTGTTAGACTATATTTTATTTTGTTAACTTTGCTTATATTTAAACCTCTATGCCCCTACTTCATCAATCAGTAGATACTGGATGTAAATTATGGGGTTTATTTTTAATAGATAACAGGTGTATATTGTGGGGTTATATTAAAAGATAATAGGTGTTTATCATTGGATGTATATTATTCTAATCATTGTAGAAAAGTTTGACCCTTTTGACCCGAATTTTTCTAAAATGTTTGTCCTGCCTTGAATTTGTAACAATCCATTCTCAATTTTCATGGATTTCTAAACAGAATACATAAATTGAGCTAGTATAGATCCTGGTCACACTGCATGGAGATGCAGGTTTGGCCTGACTATGCTGGCGGCAAAGGCTGGATACTTTTGATTCCAGCAGCTTCAATTTTAAGCTTTTTTATTTCATGCTAAGAATTAAAGAATTTATACTTAAATGCAATATACCTGAAATATGACCTTGGCCCCTTTACATAGGTAAGCTTGAGTTTTTGTATCGGATTTTCAGAAAAAATACAGAATTATTATCAAAGGTACTGAAATATGACATTGACCCCATTAAATGACCTTGGCCCCTTTATATGACCTTGGCCCCTTTATATGGTAAACTTGGACTTTTGTATCAGATTTTCAGGGAAAAAATAAAGGAATATTAACAAAGGCATTGAAATATGACATTGACCCCTTAAATGATGTTGGCCCCTTTATATGGTAAGCTTGGTCTTTTGCATCAAATTTTCAAATAATGAGAAATTATTAACTGAAAAATGTGGTGTTGTATACAATAATATTTAGTCTTTTTTTCTTTTTTTTTCTTTTTTAAGTCTGTTCAAATACTTTTGAAATGTAAGTGTCAATAGATTTTTAATAAGGAAACTCTTATTGCCATACCAAATATTGGTGTGAAGCTTCATATATTTTAACCAAAGAAAATTAGGTCAAAGATTTTTGAGGTTGTTAAATACAAAAATAGAAAGAGAAAATAAATTCTAGGTAGTTTTTTTTCTTCATCTTTTTCTTTGTTTTGACTATCATGTGACAGTTTTCATCAGTCTTTCCATTATTAGTCTACTCCCTATGTTTTCATGAATTTATCATCACATATAGGATAGTATATATAAACTGTGAAGAATTGTGAATGACTGTGTAATATTTACAATGCTAGATGGCTCATTGCTTGACAAGAGTGAATAGTTGTTATTTTATTAAGTGACATTATTTGTTATTAACAAAGTGTAGAAAAATAAAGAACATAAGTATTGTGATGTGTGCGTTGTTTTATTTTTGACTTTTTGTATGCCTGAATTTAACCGGCAAATACTAGTAATAGGAAAAAGAAACTTTTATTTGTACTAAAGCCCTGATAATGTGTATATCTTAAAATACACTTACAAAATAAAATTAACTTCCTCAACTTTGTAAACGACCAAGTTCATTGATCTAAAACCACATCCCCCTTACCACTTTTGGTTCGAATTACATCTATGTAGCTAGCTTAAGGAACACTGGTGGTTCTACTTAGGTGCCCGCTCGAGCCTGAAATAATGCATGGAAGGGCCTTTGAGGTTTTTTTCGCCATTAAAGATGAAAAGTCGCTATATGACCTCTACAGAGTTTGTGCCACTTAAAACCTTATCAACCAAATTAATAAACTTTCAAAACGAATTCGGAGCTAAATTACGTTGAAGAAAATGTTGTTTATCCGGATGACTAAAAAAAGGCATGATGATTATCTAATATTTTGCCCGACAATTCAAAGAAAAGTGGAACTATCTCACCGATGTACCAATAAATTATGTACGGAAAGTCACCTGAAGTTTTCCTCCGTCAGTAAAACTGGAAAAGTCGCTATATGATATAATAACGTCCTAATAAACTGTTTGTAAGAAAAAGGGTCCATGTCTTTAAGCTGCGGTCTCAATTAATC